TGAGAATTTTAGACGTCGAACACAATAAAAATGTTCGCTTTTTTCAGAATTCGCACTCTAACCTGAAGCTGGGAGCTCCATCAAGATACTAAATTGTTTGCTTCTAGCTTTTGCCAAAATTTGAGACTTACTGTGATAATTTTTTGTTGTTCATGTCAAAGCTGAGTAGATTAAAATATTTCTAGCTCTGTTTGAACAGATAAACTCGCATTTTACAGGCAATTGAAACAGGCAGTAAAGTTCTACAGTAATCAAATAAAATACTGGAAGTACCAAGGTTTTGTAAAATTTCCGAGAATTTCGCATATCCCTTGGCCTTCGGACCAGGTCCAGGATTCTATTTCGTAAAAAAGAAAAGGGACAAGGTGCGCATCCTATCAAATCTAACTGATATAAAAAAAGATGTGCTACCAGCTCATATAGTTTGCACAACCACCTTCTTCTTGCCGAGACCTCAAAAAGCAAAGCTATACATGGCCTACCGTAACCCTATTTATTGGAGCAAACGATGGATAGCTGGGACAAGTGGGGACACCTGGTTGTCCTGGATACGACGAAAGGTTCACTTTTTGCGAACTCGTATCATCATCATCTAAAATTGTTTCTATATAGAATAAGTGTCTTTACATTTTCGGTGATTCTCTTACTGACCTGAGTCGAAATCTTCAAATTTCCAAGAAATATCATCACGATTGCTGACTTGACGAGCATATGACGTTCCAGGATCGACTGTGATGGATGCTTTGAGTCTGGAAGAACAACTAAACAGTCATTTTTTACAGTTTTGAGGGTCCCAACTTACGGTGGTGGAGGAGGTGGTTGCTTTGGTCGTTGCAGTGTTGCACAGCGTGGAGCAGTAACTGATGGACTGGCTTCATTATTCAACTAAAAAAATTTGGAAGTTAGCCAATGGTGGGTGAAATGGTAGGTGTACTGTACATACCGTAACACCGTAATGTTGTTTTCGAGACTGATACGGGCTAGAACTGAGGGCACGAATTCGCGCATGGCGGAATGTGGATTCACGACGTTGTCGATGAAGTTTGAAGCAGTTCAGCATCGTTTCTTTGAAGACCAGAATAAGTGCCAAAGTCACAGAGAACAATGCAACGAACGATACACACGCGGCCCACTGAAAAATCAGGGTTTAAGTAGGAAAGACAAAAACTAGGTAGTCAAACAGAAAATCACTGAAAATACAAATCTTGCAGAAATTCTTAGCAAAAGTGCAATACAAATTGAGGTAAAGCGCCTCGGAATGTACCTTCTTAGCCTTGTTTTGGATGCGTGAGCGAGAGAGGGACAGGCGCCATCGGGTGTAAACTAGTCATGTGGCTTTCACCACCTTCACTGTGGCCCATCCTTTCAGTCATTTTCACTCATTTTTCTTTTCAAAATGGTTTCCAAAAAATCTTGGGAGCCTTCTTTTAGCGAGCACGGTTCAAGGATTGTTTGTAAATATTAACATATTAATAAACATATTATTAATATTAATTTGTATAGACCACATTGCAGTTAGATGTGGACAGTTTATAGAGGAAAGCGTTTAAATGTTTCATATACATCGAGAAGAAGTTTTGAGATTAGCTGAACTTTTTCTTATCAATTTTTCCTTTGATAGTGTCAATTCAAAATCTTTTTCTTTACTAAGGAAGTAGGCCAGGTTTAAACGGAACTTATTCCACACCAGTTCCTCACTCAAAAAATCGACCTCTTTCTATCTCAATAATATTGCCAATAATGAATTCTTATGAGAAGAGTAATTTCTGAACTTTCTGAAAAATAATATTTGATACCCTAACAATATCGATTCAAAGATGACAATAAAAAAATGAGAACCCAAGCTTCGGTGATTCAAAGCAAGCCAATTGCAAATCTGAAAACCATATAAAACAAAGCCAAGATACGGTAATATAGATTTTAAGATCTTCTTTTATTAACTGCGAAAACTTTGTGCTAATCGAGCTTTTCTATGGTAAGTTACGATTTTCGGCCAAACAATAAAAAAATCAATTTTTCTGTTTACTGTTTGGTATGAGCTAATACACTATTCATATGATGCAAGATGCAAGTAAAAGTTAGAGAAAGATTAGTACTTATAGTTCTATAACTTTTAGAGTATACTTTTCTAAAATACGCTTTGATTTGGCTCTCAATGATTTTTGCAAGCAGTAATTCCGCCAGACTAATTGTAAGAGAAACGTACAGCATTCTTTTCTTTATCGGTATGGCCAACAATTGAGTTGTTTTCCAAACCCAAAAAATGTCAATTTCAAGTTGCTTATTTTTTTGAAATTTTGTGCTAATTTAGCACAAACAAAGTCTAATGAAAGCACGCTCTAACTAGGCAGAATGATGCCAATTTTCAGAAAAGTAACAACGGAAATGTACGAGTGCACTGCACTCGCATCCATTTACACAGGCTAAATTCGTACAATTGTACATAATAGCCTCTGAAAAACGAATTGCAAAATAAGCAGAACGTTTACAAAGTATTCTGAGAGAATTAGAATAGCCACACAAAACTACACAACGTAATGGGAGCACTCTGCTGCGCTCATATTGGCATAAAAAGCGTTTGAGAAATTTGTACTTTGGTTTGAAAAAAAGTAAATGCTTCGAGTAAACTGGGGAACTAGTAGAGCTTTGGCGTGGCAGCCGCATTGCTGAGAAGTTCCATCAACAATTCTGAAAAAACTTCCAGAAGTTCTCTACTGCAACATTTTTGAAGTAGACTTTTGTGCATGATAGAATTCGGATCGGATTTCTTTTAGGTAAGAGGAGAGACTGAAGGATTAGCAACCACAAAAACATTATTTAAGAGTAGGAACGGACCAGAATCTAGCTTTCATTGAAATCATAGCGTCTTGGCAGATATGAGGGTTTGTGCATTGAAGAGCAGCGGATGTGCAAAAATGAACCCACAAAACTTGTTATATT